GACCCTTTAACAATTTACCATAAGGTTTCAGTAATTCCCCAACAAAAACAATTCACAAAAATAATTGTTCAGGTTTTCAAGTATTCAAGTTCTCATAAATTCAAGTCTTTAAATTCATGTTTTTTTTAATTTTTTTATTCAAGTCTCTAAATTCAGGTCTTTAAATTCATGTCCCTGTTCGGGCGCCACTCTGTAACGGTGGCGGCTTACGTTTCCAATAAAGCAGATTGACGTCCACAATCATTTATAAATTATCCATAGAGGAAAAGGAAGAGGGGGAAGAAAAAAAAGGAACATTAAATAAGCATTTGGTCATTTCATAATTATCTCAAAGCAACAATAATCATTTAACACTCATAAAAACAATAAGCACACCAAATGTGCGAAAGTGAATGTGGTGCGAGTGCTTGCATGTGTAGTAGTAGTGAGTGAAATGAGTATGTGTAATGGCGGCAGAGAGGTACTGACCAAGTTTGCAGTCGTGACGAAAGTTGGAGAAAAAGTAATTTGGAACTTCACAACGCACCAGACACTCACAAGAAAAGCAATCGTTTGATCAAACAGTCATCTTTCCTCCTTCGCCGGGTTCTCCAAACAGTCACTCCCACACTACTGCAAACTTTTACAGATGACGCAATTACTCTCAGGTATGACTCACTTCCTTATATCCTCTTTCCTTCCGCTGATAATTGAAATGCTCCACCCCAAACACGCAAAGTGAAAACGAAAGTAAACCAAAAGATGTTGTGGCACAACATTTTCACTGCCACAAATGTCAATGGTGAAGGAAACAATGTTTTGTGGCATTTGTAGTCAGCCATAAGGCTCAAAGAGATTATTTGTCCGGTGCAAATGATTGTTGGTTTCTCCACCTTTACTTTGTTTATCAAACAGATTTGCATTGTGAATATTATTGTTATATTTTGTTGTTTTTTTGTTCGATGGCCCATGATTAGTCATTTTTATTTTTAACCTGTTACCTTGTTTGTGTTTGTCCTTTAACTCTTCGGCCTCATGGTTGTGGTTCATCTTCCTCAGGATGTCCAGTGTGATCTTCACAGCTTCTTCTGGTCCACAACGCTTCATCATCAGGTCCACTGTATCAGGAGCGTCTGCCTTCTCCAGATGAGTAACTGAAAAGCCCTTATGATTTTTAAAGTGCCATTTAAACCTCTTCAGTTTATCTGCATCTAGTTCATCCATGCTCTGAAACAGACGCCATCACCCTTCACTGATTCACTCCTGCAGGACAAGCAGAAAAACTGCTGAAGATACAGAAAGTTATCGGATTTGTGTTAATCCACTATAATTTCTTTGAAAAGATCAAATCAGGGGTGGCCAACATCAGTTCAGGAGAGCCACAATCCTGCAGAGTTTCAGTCCAACTCTACATATAGATAGGTCAGTGTTTAATAACTTAGCGTGGAAAATGAGAACGTTTGTAGGCTTCTCGTTCCACCTCTGAACTGAGATCTTGAGAAAAAGCTCTGAAACTCATCTCCGGGAAAACCAGTGAAACAGGAGAGAAACTCTGGAGACTGTCGTCAAACATCTTCGTCATGTACATCTATCTGATATATGTAGTAGACTGACTGAGATAGCTTGAGAAATCACAGGTAGAGTAAAATACAGTACTAATGCAGAGATAAACAGTAACAGACAGAAAGACAGAATCTCATGAAAGAGATTAGAAACTACATTAGTAAACTAAAGCAGAAAGGAAAGAATAAGAGTGTCTTCAGTTGTTTCTTAAAAGTTCTCATTCCACAACGTGATCTCATGAGTATTCATAAGTATTTAATGTAAAATGCAGTTCTACGATGCACACATTTGCACGGACATTAAAGGGCACCTATTATGCAAAATCCACTTTTACACTGTGTTTGGACATAAGTGTGTGTTGGCAGTGTGTGAACACATCCACCCTACACTGATAAAAATCCACCCGCTCCTCATTTTCTAAACCCCTTTAATGTGCTCATATTCAAATTTGCCAGTCATTGCTTTAATTTTTATGTGTTGTACTTTATTTGAAACCATTTTGTTTTATTGGTATATATTTATGCATTTGTCTTGTTTAGATTTTTTTTGTTTGTGAACTACCCATATTATATTACATTTTATATTTTGTGAATAAATACAATGAGTGACAAAATTTGTGTGCAGTATAAATTATTAGGCCTACATATGTTAATGTAGGCTAATAAAATGGACAACAATCAGAGGTCAGCAACGCTACAAGTAAGGTGAGATGTAAAAAGCGCTGGTAATAAGATGAATATTCGGATTTAACACTGTAAAGAAAACATTGTGATGGCAGCATGTAAAGTACCAGTTTGGACGTGGTAAGTACGTTTTTAAAATGTTGGAAGGAGACATACGGACGTGATAAAAAAGTTATAAAAACCTTTCTGCAGCGTTGTGAAAAAATGTATTTATAATGTGAAAAAAACCCGACATTTGTCATATTAAATACGTTGGGAAAAAACGCAATCGCGACCTTTTCACAACGTGAAAAAACGTTTTTACTACGTAGGCTAGTTATGTTTGCTGGGTAAATGGTCTTTGGATTTCCCCTTTCTTTAAAACGAGCTTGTGGTCCATTATTAGCCTATTAATTAATATAATCATTTGCCATAAAATAGTACAATGGCAAATTTGCATATATTAAACATTAACTTTTATTAATAAAATGAATAAGACGTATATAGCCTACTTGCGTTGTAACACGAATAAATAAGGTCCTTTCCTTTCCTAAAACGAATGCTTAGTTTGTGGTTCATTGTTTTTTTTTTTTATGAAAACAGCAACAATAAAGTCAAACTCAGGTGAAATGAAACGTTTATTAAAGAAGAAGTTGCGCGTTTGGATCCGAATGGAGTGGATCAGAGGCAAAACTCCTGACCTGTTCAGGGCTTCAAGTGCAGGTCAGTTTCATCTGTAAACACGCTACTGTAGTTTTGTCTTTGTTTACTTAGTTAAGCATTGGCTGCTACAGCTAAGAGTTGCTAGCAGTTTAGAGGATTAATAATACTGTAAACTAAACTAAACTAAACTAAACTAAGCTAAATTACTATCATCACTCAAAATGTATGCTAAAGGACATCATTATTACCTACTGTAAAGTAACAGTAGTAATTTAGCAAACAAATGTTATAAAACATCCTGTTATAATACGTTTAGAGGGAGCTAGGGCAGGTAACAACACAGCCCTTACGAAAATTAAAACCAAAAACCACGGTTACTATAGTTAAACCATGGTAAGCACAAATTAACCATGGTTTTGCTACACTAACCATAGTCTAATACAGTGTTACGCTCTGCTCTATGCATGTGCATCCCGCTGAAGTACCGCTCATGCTCACTGGAATAGCGAAGTGCGCTCAAATAACACGCCGACAGGAAACTTCTATGTAGTGTGCTATACTGTAGTTTGCAGTAGCGCTACTGTGCTGTAACATGGCAACGCTACCCTCCTGTGACGCTAGGCTCTGATAATATTAGCTTTGTAGGACATTATTTGGATAATTAGTCCAAAGGGGGAAAAAAACAGTTATATCTGATTCTGTTGCATAGAACTGAATAAAAATAATACATTGATATTTAATATTAATATATTTTCTGTCCAGTTTTATTGTTTTACTTTCAATAAAGTGTGGTTATTATTGGCTTGTATTTTTTCTTATTTTTTGGGAACCAAATAACAACGTTCTAGGAACGTTCTCTGTAGGTTCTTTTTTTAAGAAGCTAAAGAGTGCCTAAAGTCACAGTTCTCCTAATATACCTGTGCTACTTATGACTGCTGTTGTGCTCCAGGAAAACATTGCATAATGCTTCCCATCGTTAGTTGCTGTGTTACGAGTGATAAAGTGTGTTTGTTTGGCGAACACCTTTGCTAGAGTTATGGAAGAATGACTTGATTTGAGGCATTAATAAAGTGTTTTAGTGCATTTTGAATGTGAAATGAACTGCTGTGTCAAGTTGAAAGATGATTTGTAGCAATAGCCAACAATACATTGTATGGGTCAAAATTATAGATTTTTCTTTTAAGCCAAAAATCATTAGGATATTAAGTAAAGATCATGTTCCATGAAGATATTTTGTAAATTTCCTACCGTAATCGCTCGAGTACGAGAGTGATATTGCGTTTATACAACAGTTCGACGGAACGTGTGTAATTAAACAAGAAACAACGGCGTGCCTAATAAACCCCTCTTTTGTGCGGAACTACTTCCTTCCGCCACGGATTCAAAGATTCCGTCACTTTTAGAATTGGTATCAAGGGCGTGTGCTGCTTCAGTTAGGTTATTAGTGAGAAATAATGAGGTTATAAGAGAGAAGCAAAGCGGCAAGACGTGCATCCAAATGAGAGAGAGAGAGACCACGAAGCTAGATGTTTCTTATATTAACTAACGTACTCTACGATTAGCTCAGTGAATAATAAAAAATAAACATAGACCCGGCTAGAACAAGCGGAGTGATACAAAATTGTGAAAGCGCGTTCCTGTAGTGATACCAGTACAATATCAAAAAGTGAAGTGACATGTGGCCAAGTATGTTGACCCATACTCTGAATTAGTGCTCTGCATTTAACCCATCCAAATTGAGCGATACCAGTACAATATCTCATGGTTCTCAACCAATCAGATTTGAGAACCAGAACGAACTGTTGTATAAATATATATATATTATTTACTTCACGTCTCAGGGGTTTTAATGTTGTGGCAGATCAGTGTATGTACTTGTTCAGTCGTGGAATAATGTTTTCACTCTCAAACTCAAATCTTTGGCAGTTTTGTTTGCTGTTTGACATTAGCCGGTGTTTCAGATTCAAGGTTAGATCATGTTGCATTACTGTTAACATGTTCATGACGAAAGTGGTCAAGTATCTCTCAGCCTCAAACTATGTAAATATTCCTTCAGGACTGTTACACAGAAGAGAACACTTTATTACCACTGAAATTCACAATCAGTCACAAACTTGACATGTATCCTCATCATCATCATCAATCATCGTTTTTTATTTGACAAAAGCTGAGAAAAAGACCTCCCCCATCATGAACTGCTTAAAATCCACATACATAATAAATAGATTCACTAAATACAACCATTATATGCCCCGTCCTCCGTATGCTGAGAGCAGACTCGGTCCGAGCAGGACGTTCACTGCTGCAGGATCTCATGGTGACGCAGCAGATCCAGCTAGTTTAGGTTCTGAACAGCAGAGGTTTCCCCGGACCATGTTTATCCAGTCCTGACGCATCACCAGGCGGCTCCTCCAGGACTACAATAATAATAATGAGCTAAATGTATGGGACACAGGAGGTGATGCCACAGCTGGTTGTGTGTTTGTGAGGTTAACTGCTCTCCCGAGGGTCGGTCAGGGGCAGCGCTGGGACAGACATCACCACAGTCTCTGCTCTCACTGTAACAGCCGCGGCAGCTTTATGCGAGCAGGCCGAGCAGATGTAGTCTTCATTCTCAGCCATCTCACACGTCACACCCACACACACCTGATGAAACCACTCGTCACAGCCGCCGTCACACTGGACCCAGTCCACCTGAACCCAGAGGAGAGCAAACACACAGTGAGCACAGTGAATGACACTCAGGGTGTATCACACTAGGCCATCTGAACCGTGCCCGAGTGCGTTTGACCCCCAGAGCGCGGTCGTCTGACTAGTTTGATCGCTCCGGTTTGTTTAGCCGGCCCTGGCTCGGTTGGAAGAGGTGGGCCACAGCACGGTTCAGTTGGGCTTGGGCACGGTGCACATGTAGCGTGAGCGCAGAACTTCTGATACGTGCAGTGCGATTTCTGAGCGGCAAAAGCATTAGATCTCTTAGGGTCGTGCGTTACAGCGTCCCAAAGACTCAAAATAATGAGCCACAAAGTTAACAAATCGATGCACTCCACTGTGCTGAGCGAGAGCGCTATCTGCTATCGGAAACTTCCTATTTCCCACTAATAAAGTCATGATTATGAGCTCGTTGCAATCAAGTGATTTGTTGTCAGACAGAATAAAATGTAATATTCCATTGGTTGATAACCATAAACATTCAACGCGCTAGATAGTCAGCTTGATACGATTCTGGAATTTCGGTCAAATACATGCTTATTTCACGGTTTATAATGCATAGGCTATAATTTGCTTCAAATGCCTATATATAAATAGGCACTATTTTAACGACAAGACAAGGTGATGTAGTTTTTGTTGAAAAAAATAAAAGAATAATAATAAAGAATAGCATCGACAACAGTTGTCCCTTCCACCATGTTTAAAGTTTATGGCCCACCTAACTCAGAGATTGAATATCAAAATAACGACTTGAAAGGCCGTTCATGTCCAATTCAGGGTTTCCCATACATTGATTTATTAGTGGCGGCCCGCCACAATATCAAAACTGACCGCCACAAATAGATTTTCCAAAAGGCTTTGACTTCGTTGAATAAACATGAGCACTGCACGTTTAAAAATCAAAAACCGTTGCGGGTGTTTTTATATCACTGTATTTCTGAAGGAAACCGACTGTCTTCAGAAAATTTTGGATGTCATTTTCATTTAATCTTGCATGTAATGCCTGATAAATAGAGGTGGAACGATACATGTATTCGTACCGAACAGTCACGGTACGGACATCTCGGTTCGGTGCATGAGGCCTTACAAGGAATACAGGTAATTCACCCTCAATCCAGGAGGGGGCGCCCGCAGCAATGCAACGCTGTTTGATAACCGGCCGCCAGCAGAAGAACAGCGAATGCCGTGAGTTGCGCACTTGAAAACAAAGCCCACTACACAGTGACCATGTGCTGACTCTGAATGCTTCTCTCACAGACTGACAAAGGAGTATACTTTCAAGGCTTGTGCACTCGACTGTTTGTGAAATGGAGCTTTGTGCTCGTGTATCCTACCTCTCTCATTCGGCACAAATCCAAATATTCCACAATATTTCCATATTTGCGATGTAATGTATCTGAATGCTAAACTATTATTTATTATGTAAATTATAGGCTTTGTACTTCAGTTGCGTTCCAACAGTGACACAGACGCGGGCACGCTGATGTTTGGTTCACTGTATTTTATTTTGATAAGTACCAACTGCGCTGTCAAGTTAGCAATGCTGGAACTGATGTGTGTGTGTGCGCGAGCCGGCGCGATCACTTCAACGGTTTCCTTATACCAGCAGAATCAATTTTAAACACTTATTGTCTTATTAATATTGCATCACTGTATAAAAGTCTGCTTTTATTTGTGTACACTCACAATGAAAACAAAACATTGTGCTTTTGTAAAATAAAGAAAACAAATAGGATGTCGCTTTCAGTCATTTAATTCTGCCAACAAATTGAGGGAACTGAAACTCAGCGTATATAGGCTACGTTACGTGTTGCACTGTTTTTTTTTTCTCTTGTTTATCTGTAAACTAAATCAAACATATATATATATAAATATTTATATATTTCAAGAATTTATTCCTTGTATGTATATATGTACTGCAGATTTTATATATATAACAATGTAATATTTAGTATTTTCACATCTAGGTGGAAAAAATTGTAATTTGTACTACTGTCTACTGTCTGTTCAAAATAAATGAAAAGAAACAGAGCATAGTAGATTAGCTTTTTTTTCCTTTTGTACCGAAATCGTATCAAACCGTGACCCCCGAACCGAAGTACGTACCGAACCGTGACATCTATGTACCGTTCCACCCCTACTGATAAAGCAGATTCTGTGAGCGGAGCGCTGCTTTGTGTACAGCTGTTACCGGAGAAACCTCCGTCTCTCCCGCTCTAAAAGCGCCTCCTGCTGGCAGAGAATGAATTTGCATATATATATGTGGGGGCGGGGAGTGTAAGGCTGTGGGAAACACTGCAATTTCTGATTAAGAAACTCATATTTACGATAATTCCGGTCCAGAACGTAAAGTGCAATGTGAGTGCAGGGCAGCAGGGGACAATCGCGCTCGGTTCAAGGCAACCATGCCTAGTGTGAGCAGTTCCTCTGTCAATACAGTCAGACTCCAGTGAAGGATCATCACTCACCTTATCCTTGCACGGCCGCTGGCAGTTCTTGGCGGCGCAGACAGCGTTCTCGTCGTTGGAGTCCTCCGCTCCGGACCAGTCGTACTTGGAGGGAATGTCCAGAATCTTCCGGCTCTTCTTCTCCAGGCCCTCCTTGGGAAACTCGGCCTTGGCCACCGCCTTCTCCTTCCTCTTGCGCTCCTTCTCCTCTTTAGCGAGACGCTTGGCCAGCTGCTTCAGCTCGCGGGACTTGTCCGGGTTCAGCTTCAGCTTCTTCTTCTTGGGCTTGAGCTCCAGAACCCGTTTGATGTCTTTGGACTTGGACCGTCCCTGCACACCGCCGGTGGCCAGAAGCAGCTGCTGCTCGGCTCGCTCCAGCTTCCTCTTCCTCTTCCTCTCCACGTCCTTCAGCTTCAGCTTGACGTGTTTGTCCAGCGAAGCGTCCTCAGGCTGCGGGAGCACAGCAGCTTAAAGAGGTCAATGTGTGGACACAAGAAACACGTGCATGCACAGTGACAGCGTATCTCACCTCCATGACCTGCAGGAACTTGTCTTCTGAGGGCGGGTGTGTGGCCTGCAGGATCCTCCAGATGTGCTGCGTCTCGTCCAGAGACACCTCCAGCAGGTCTCCCTCCATCATCAGCTCCTCCAGCTGGGCCTTGGCCGCCGGTGAGAGCTCCAGCACCGGAGGCTCCAGGCTGCGCGGCACCAGCGGCGTCTTCCTGGGCTGCTTGCGCGGTGCCGCCTGATCTGAGGAGGGAACGGAGATCAGGCTAGATCAGGTGATAGATGCTGCGGTACTGGACCCTTCTGAATATAGATATATAAGTGTGTAGTGACATCTTACTCTGAGGACAGGACTTCGAGGCAGAGGAGTACGCGTGCTCCGTGCAGAAAGATGGTGTCGTGGGCCACATGTGACTGACCACCTCCTCCGACTTCACAGGAATCTCCTCGTCACAGAACAAGTACGGCTTCACCTCTCCTGAGTCCTGAGGAGAGAAACACGAGACAGAGAGACTGAGACGAGCAGCAGGGAAACCGCATCACATTAAGATGATCTGCATCCGATGAGGAGTGAACATCAACTACATGAAAACACTAGTGTTGGTTGATCGTGTGTGTAGGGATTCATCACATACCTTTACGTCATATCCATAAGTCTCTCTGATGTCCTCGTCGGAGTCCGTCTCTTCGTCGTCATAGTCCACAGAGGGCCGTGGTGACGTGGCCCTGCTGAAACCGGCCTGCTGAAAGGTCTGGATGTGGCCCTGAGAGTGAAACAGAAGTTAGTCGTGGAGCACTGCTATAATCAGACGTGATGGTGTGGAGTCACGTGCCTGCAGGTCGGGGTTGGCGGCCGCCTTCTGCAGCTCAGCGTTGATGATCTTCTCGGTCTTCTCTCGCGCGGCAAGCTCCACCATGCGCTGGCTGAGCACGGAGAGCTTGGCCAGGGCGGAGGAGAGCTCGTCGGTGGCCAGGGCCTGTCGAGCGCGGTCCTGCCAGCCCATGGCTCTCTCGGTCAGACACTGCAGCGCCTCTCCCTCGGGCAGCCGCACTGGCAGCTTCTGCAGCGACACCAGCAGGGACAGGATGGTCTCCAGCCGCGGCCGCCGCGAGCGCTGACACAGCGGACACAGGAACTTGCTCTCTTTGCTGCCGGACACCAGCTTCTTCTGCGAGCCGGCTTTGGGCAGCGGCACGCAGACTCCGTGGAACCAGTCCCTGCACAGCTCGCACTGCAGCATGAAGCCGCTGGCTGTCTTACGGCATAGACAGAACTTCACCTCCTCGATGCGCTCCACCAGGGCCATCTTGGCCAGGTTAGCGGCGCGGAGCGAGTGGATGGCCTCCAGCTCCTGCCGCTCTCGAGCTTTGAAGGCGGCCACGACGGCGGCGGGGTCACGCGTGTCCTCCACACTGTCCTCCAGGTCGCTCAGAGTGTCCAGCTCCAGGCCGCACTCCTTCTCCAGCAGCTCTTTGACACGCTTGCGCTTGCTCTTGCTGCTGCCGTACACGCCGATGTCCACACGCGGACTGAGCACCTGCAAGAGATCGACCACAGGTGAGTAAAGATGAACATCACAGGTTCACTCAGCAGCGGACTGTCCTGACCTCACTGGCTAATACGTGGTCTTGTTTTCAGACTTGGCCCATGTAATTTTGATCAATTTCTCAAAAAACATGACTTCTTCTTAAGCCATTTTGCTTTAAGTAAATGCATCTTGATTTAAGCTATTTGTACCAGAAAACGAGACAAAAAATCCTGATGCAGAACAACGTGTTTAGTAGTCCAGAAACCATGTCTGTCATGAAGACATTTATATCCATAAAAATACTGGTCAAAATTTTGGGCCCTAAACCTAAATGTGCTATGCGCTAAATTAGCACATAGTTTTCACCAACATATTCCACTAGTGCAGGGGTTCTCAACTCTGGCCCTCGAGATCCACTTTCCTGCAGAGTTCAGCTACCTACCTGTAACTTTCTAGCAATCCTAAACACCTTGATTAGCTTGTTCAGGTGTGTTTGATTAGAGTTCGAGCTGAACTCTGCAGGAAAGTGGACCTCGAGGGCCAGAGTTGAGAAGCCCTGCACTAGTGTGTCATTTTGTATCACCTGCTGTAAGGTGTGTGTGTGTGTGTGTGTGTGTCACCTGCAGCAGTGTGTGTGTGTGTCACCTGCAGCAGTTTGTGTGTGTGTGTGTGTGTGTGTGTCACCTGCAGCAGTGTGTGTGTCTCCTGCAGCAGTGTGTGTGTGTGTGTGTGTGTCTCCTGCAGCAGTGTGTGTGTGTGTCACCTGCAGCAGTGTGTGTGTGTGTGTGTGTGTGTGTGTCACCTGCAGCAGTGTGTGTGTCACCTGCAGCAGTGTGTGTGTGTGTGTGTCACCTGCAGCAGTGTGTGTGTGTGTGAGTGTGTTTGTGTGTGTGTGTGTGTGTCACCTGCAGCAGTGGGTGTGTGTGAGTGTGTGTGAGTGTCACCTGCAGCAGGGTGTAGGTGGAGTTCTTCTTCAGGAAGGTGCGGGCGGTTCTCTCTCTCCAGGCTCTAGCAGAAGCCACCTGTGACTCCACCTGCGGCAGAGCCTCTAATCTGACCGGGATGGAGCGTCCTCTCATTAACAGACCCTCCAGCTGCTCCAGGTAGGCGTAGTTATTGCCGTTCTGCTCGTGGAAATCGAGACACAGGTCACATGACGTGCTACACCTGATTCAGCAATGAAGCTGGATCAACACTGATGAGACGTCACAGTGCTAATCTCTTCCACAGCATTCATACCTTTGATCTTTATAGAAACATCTCTGAACTAGCATGCGCTGTTCAAGCGTCATCTGCAAGTCACATGACCCGTATGTCTGCATGTCTTGTGTTTACTCTAAATTTCTCTCGAAAATGTTATCTAGACCAGGGGTTCTCAAACTTTTTGGGGTCAGGGACCCCTTACAGGGAGAAAAGTTTCAAAGGACCCCCTTATAATCATAACAGTGATTAATCATCTGCTTACTACACTGTGCACTCTGAGATTCCACTGGAACTTCCGTTTTTCTGGAATTTGTCATTTTTCTGATTACATTGACATTTTTCAGACTGTTTTAATTGTTTAAATGTTAAATTAAATTGTAATAAAACGCACGTCAAATTGTTTGAACTCATAAAACTTACACTAACTTAATTTACTGTCTCTCTCTCTCTTACTCTATATATTTTAGGACCATATGAATTCTATTTTTTTATAGAAAAAAATATTATTTTTAAATATTATATATTTTTTTATTAATTTCTCAAATTTGGTTTTATTGTTCTCAAATTCAGTGCCCTGCATGCTCCTACTTCACTCGCTCTTACATCGATCTCCTCTCCAGAAGCCTGCGGTGGCTCGTAGAGACACAAAATCACTCTCAGAGCATTTTCTTAACTATACCTTGATGGTGAAATGATCTTCCCACCCACATCCTGAATGCAGAATCTTTCACTTTCCCTTAATACATTTACAACACCCGTCTCACCCGCAAAGCCCTCTGCATTGCAGTGCACTACAAATCATTATATCTGCACTGTTGTTTACTTCACTGGTTTGCACTCTATCTGCCATGTGCCGTGTGCTGCTTTATATATATTTTTTATATATATATTTTTTTTTTTACATTTTACCTTATTTGTATATTTGTATAGTTGTATTTTATATTTAATCTGTATATCTGTATTTATGTTCTACTGTTAGTGTTATCTGTATGCACCAAGGGTCTGAGAGTAACGCAATTTCAATTCTCTGTGTGTATGTGCTGTACATGTGGAAGAATCGACAATAAAGCAGACTTGACTTGACTTGACATTACTGTTCTAGCTTGTACTATTCTGAACAATGGCTGAAACCTTTTGTTACTAGCATTTCTTGTGTTTATTGTCTCTTCCAGATGAGTAGTCTGTTGTATTCCTCATTTGTAAGTAACTGTAGATAAAAGCGCCTGCGAATTGATTAAATGTAAACAGAAGTGTTTAGGCATGACCCTGTGAAACACGCGGTCACCTGAATGGCCGCCACTTTGGCCGTCCACTCTCTGGCTTTGTGCAGGGCGTCTCTGAGGGCCAGAACATTGGGCAGGTACGCTGGGATATTCTTGGCCTCCATCACGATGCTTTCCAGCGTCAGCAGACTGTGGCGAGGCCTGCAGAGAGACAGACGGACGACAGTCACAACCACAGAATTTCACAACAACCCAAGACTAAATGGTTTGCTTGAGTTTTGGCCGTAACGAGAGGTCACCTGGCCTGCAGGCAGGCGCGCGCCCGCTCCTCCCAGTGCTCGGACAGCGTCAGCAGCTCCTGCAGCTCGGCCATGGCCTTCTCTACGGCGTGATGGGGCGGCAGGCCCACGCCCGAGTCGATCAGCCGCTTCATCAGCTCCAGCGTGAGGCGCTGCGGCTCCATCAGCGTCAGCCGCACCTCGTCCAGCCAGCGCGCCTGCTGCAGCTCCTGCTTGAGCCTCGGCAGCTCCGGCAGCTCCAGCTCCAGCCCTGAGCCCAGCTCCAGCAGCGCCTGCAGCTTCCCGGAGTCCGGAGTCTCGTCGGCCAGCGCCGCCTGCGCCCGCTCGTGGAAGTCCTGCACGCTCTCCAGCAGCTCCTGCGGCACACACACACACAGGAGGGCACACGTCAGACCGTATATCAGAGCTCAGATGGCTGCAGAGGCTCATGGACTCACCCTGACGTGTCGGGCCTGGCTGATGACGCAGGGCAGGCGGTACAGCTGCTCCACAAACACCTTCAGCTCCTCCACCGTCAGCTTGCTGCCAGCTTTCTGTGCGCTGCTCTCGGGACGCTCTCTTCTTCTCACACACACACACACACTAGGGCTGAGTGATGACACACACACACACACACACACACACATATATCACACTAGTCAGCGTTCAGCAGTGACTGACCTGTGCCTCTGCTTCTGGCTGAGCAGCAGCTGCGCCACAGACGCAGCACAGTGCAGTGAAAGCTTCTAGTTTAATCAGCACATCAGGACTGATGACAGCGATGTACGGCGTAGCTGTGTGTGTCAGAGGCGTACCGCAGGCACTTGTTGCTGGCTGCGCAGCTGCAGAGCTCGGCTGCGTGATGCAGACACACCAGACGCTGCGGGCTGCAGCTGCAGGTGAGCGCAGACAGGAAGCAGGTGGTCTTGCACTTCCAGCACTGCCGCTCGTCATCAGGCACCAGCTCAAACACCTCCTGCTCCGAGCACAGCACCCCCTGCAGGACGACCAGTGCAAACACACTCAAGCAGTACTTATTTAACAGCTGGCCAGTTTCTTTGTTCTATTTCTATTAGTCCTACTGCTTTCACTACTGATAATTTATATTAATTTCTAACAATATTAAAAGACAATATTAAACTGATTTCCAGGGGCTTTTTTTTACTTTATAAGGGCAATTTTTTCTATAAACTTGTTAAATGTGTGTGTCACGTTTTATCAAATTATTACATTTAAGCAATAAATTCAATTAGAATAATAAGATACTATAGGGTTGTTATAATTGCATAATGTAGTGAAAACAATGCTTTAAATATGACATTTTTGAATACAGAAATACTAAATGAAGAAAAAGCTGATAGCCTACTTTTAAATATGAAACTAAATTCACAAGTAGGTGTTAACGAGGTTTTAATGAGTGAATCATTCACTCAAATAATTTGTTCAAAACTGCTGAAACATTCAGGAATGAAGTTCATAAAGACTTTAAAGTTTACTTGGAGAATCATAGAAGTTCTGCTCTAGCTTTGTTTCAAACTATTTTCATTCTGAAAAACTGACAGCATTGTTTCTAAAACGTCTCAAAGTCCCTTAATACTAACTACTTTTAACTGTTGTATAAAATCAATATTAGATTTCCAAGAGAACCAATATTCAAGAAAACAACACTCTTGCCAGGGTTGCTGCAGGATTTTTAAGCTCAAATTTAAGACTTTTTAAGACCTGCACAATTAAAATTAACACCATATGAGCGGGGTAGTGCAATGTCTATAGTACCATATTAAACCGTAAGATTACTGTAAAAATCACAATTTACAGTTTAGATACAAGTTTTCACAAAAACAAAAAGTTTTATAAAATTAAAAACTTTACATTTCAGCCTTTAAACCATTTTTAAGAAAAGTCAAAAATATTAATTATTATATTAATTTAAACAATTATCAATAAATTATTATATAAATTAAAAAACAAATTAGGGGTGTGCGATATTGACAAAAAAATTATATCTCGGTCATTTTCTGGGATTTTATCGATAACGATAATTAGACGATATTTTGCTGATTGTGTGTTATTGTGCTGATATCTTAAGGACTGCTGTGGACAGCTGACTCCTGAATTTTTTTATATTCTTCATATTCTGTGTGCGGGTCAGTTCACAGCAGTGATAGAAATTAATCTTTTCCAACAAGTTTTATGGGCATTTTTATCTTTAAGACATTTTTTTCTAAAAGTGTGCACCATCTTTTGAGTCAAATTCTTGCATTTGGGCTGTTGGCAAGCAAATGAAATCAGTATCAACAAAATTAATCTTTGCAGTGCAGAGGAAACACAGAAGCTGCGTCTGAAGTGGCATTTAGATGCATTTACACACTGTTTAATGCAGCTCTGAGGGACATGGAATACTTTAACCTGCAGCTACAAATGCATAAACAATGTTTTGATTTTTTTAAACATAAAACATTAAAAACTGATATTTTAAATTATTAAAAAAATTGAAAAGGTACCTTAAATGTGAAATTAAACCCACCAGTAGGTGGCAGCAAGTCACTGTTAATAAGTGAGTCATTGCGATTGAACCGAATCATTTAAACGGTTGATTCTTTCAGGAACAAAACACCGTCATGTTGTTCAGAGACACAAAACAGCGCTGTGGCTGGAATTATTTTTGTTGGCGAAATAGAGCAAAAACAGGAAATATGGCGTCTAAAACGTAAGTATCTTAATATTAACTTCTTGTTTATTGAACTGTTGTATAAAATCAATATCACATTTGTAATCATGCTGACTTTTGGAGAAAAAACGGCACTCTTCATGTGATATTAACTATATAGAATGATATAAATATATACGTTTTCTGCCCCATATCTTGAATTATGTGATAATTCTAAATGCATTTTAATAGACTGATTCATGCAGTGAAAGAGCGCACTCTAAATGCGCACGCGCACTAGTTTAACCCATGTTAACTTACTAGACTTCATCATGTAATGTATGCGTGCGCTCTGTAGGTGTGTTTTGTGTTTGCTTTTCGCGATATACTCATAATATCAAATCGCACATTGTTAAAACAACAATTACGATATTATCGCAAACCATACATATCGCACACCCCTATTCGGTTTAGATTTTTATAATGCATTGTCTTCTTATCGATCCACCAGTTCACATTTAAAGCTCTGCGTGTTTGCAGGGTAAAAACATGGGTGGATTTTTGCATTGGTCTGAACTCTGAACAAAACAACAGTTTTATTGACAATGCTCATTCATTCTCTGCCAGCAGGTGGAGCGTTTGGTAGAAATATAACCGTTTCCCCGGTAACACTGTAAACAAAGCAGCACAGCGCCGGACTCTGAACCTGCAGCGCTCGTGAAATCATAGCCTTTTGAAGTTTAATCGTCACATTCAGCCATATCGCCATTCTGGTCTTACCGTCCCCAAATTTAAGACCTCTTGAAATCATAATTAAGACTTTCTTGTACAATTTAAGACTTTTTAAGACCCTGCGGAAACACTGCTTGCTTACGTGATACTGCTAAACTATTATATGTTATAAAGAATAAAAAAAGGTTTTGTCCTCTATACATCTTGAATTTTGGTGGCATTTTTTATTAATTTTGTTGTATTTTTGCCCCATGTTACCCTGATGTAGAAGTTGTTAAACTAAAGTCGTTGTCAACAGCGTATTATAATTTCTGCGGTACTGGACATTAATGAAGTACTCCTGCTAGTGAACTGCTGGTGTCTTGTGAGGCCGGGTCTCTCTCACCGTCTCCTGCACGGCTGCTCTCAGTCGGCTCTCCACCTCGATCATGTCTCCGAGCTCTCGGACCACAGCCGCCGCCAGCTCCACGTCCAGACTCTCCGGATCGGCCGCCATCTTACACACCAGCTCCTCATGGGAGAAGACGCAGTAGCGCTGCAGACGCCGGTAATGCGCCACACACTGCCTCCCGATGGGCAGCTGCACAACACACACACACGTATACGTCATCACACACATCTACATACAAACACAGCAAACCACATGCTGAAGACCTGCTGAAGATTCACTGTGGCTCTACAGGACGCACCCAGTCTGCAGTGCAGAAGTTGACTGCCTCAGCAAAGTTGTAGCCTTGATTGAAGCCGCTGTGATAGGCTCTTGGGAAGGTGACGACAAACTCTCCCGCGCACTGATTGGTCCGGTACACCTGTATGATAATGAGCCCTGTCAGTGACTGCTGAGGAATATCTGTCAAATAACACTGTCCTAAAATACTGCTGCCAGGGGTGAAATATCTCATCTCACTGTTCATTTCTTAAGCAAGTGTTAAGCTGGTTTGCCGGTGAGCAGCAGAATGCAGGGCAGATGCAGAGGAGGCCGTACCGGGACGCCGTGCTCCATGAGGAGGTTGGGGTTCATCAGGGTGACCAGCTGATGCAGGAGGTCTGGCTGAGAGTCGAAGAGCTCCGGAGCCACTTTCTTCATGACGGACTCCAGCTGCTCGGCGGCGTGTGCTGGAACGCCGTACCAGGTCTTGGGCTCGCCCCTGATCAACAGACACACACGTCACTCGTCTCAGTGTCTCAGGCGCTGAACATCAGCACGAGTGCGCAGGACTCACCAGTGCAGGTAGTTGATGGAGTAGCTCCAGTGGTCCTCGATGTGCCAGCAGAAGGACGAGAAGCACATGCCCACGTACAGCCAGGGCACCTTCATGCCGCTGATGTCCCCGCTGATGTGCGTCAGCACCGACTGCTCCAGCACCGGCATGTTGTTCAGATTCCAGCCCGAGCTCGCATACTCCTGCGCATACACGTGAGAATCAGGAAGACCTGTCTATGGTCATATCTCACCACAGAATCACAAGAGAAATAGAGGAAACACACATGTATATATGTGTGTGTGTAAAATGTATCAATGAAATTTCTTCATGCACTAGTGTGAGATGCAGCTGTATGAAATGAAGCATCTTACATCCTCGTCGCCGATGAGTTTTCTCTTGCCGTCTCGCACTGGGAATCCGCTGCCCATGTCTTTGGAGCTGATATCAGCGCCGTACTCCACGATCACGTCCTCCTCGATGCTGCTGACCAGACGCCAGAACTCCTTCTCCACCAGCTCCGTGGGCACCATCTGACACACACACACACACACACTCAGCATGTTTACATGTGTTAGCGCTGCACTCTGAACCCAGAACTCTGCTTTAACTCTTGAGAAGCGTGTAGACGCTCTTTACCAGGCACTTACGTGAACAGGCATGTTGAAGTAATCAGACTTGAAGTGGTCGGCCATCTCGCCGAAGCTCTGGAGCGTGTACTCGCGCACGGCCTGCTCGAAGCCGAACGCCTCGCGAGGCTTGCTGCACTCCTGTGTGATGGGAGATCAGTGCATCACAGAGGAGCATTCGTTACAGCATGTGTGTGTGTGTGTACTGAGCTGTGAGGGCGGCTGTACCTCTGCCACACACTTGGGGCAGCGCCAGTCTCCTTTGGGCACGTCCTGCAGCGGCGGGATCAGGCAGAAGGTGTGGTAGCTGTCATCACAGCCATCACACAGCAGGAGGCGGTCCTCCTCGTCGCCCCGCCCACACGCCATGCACATGTACAGGTCGATCTGTCAGTCACACACACACACACACACACACACACACACACACACACACACACACACACACACACACACACACACACACACACACACTCTGAACATCGACTAATAGCGATTAAAGCTGCGCTGCATAGTAACAGAGTTTTAGGTCAAAAACACAGAGCAGACATGTTTTGCAGAGGTCGTTTACACAGGACATGCTCAAAACATCAGAACAGAAGAGAGCGCTGAGTCTAAAGATGTGCTTTGAAATGATGAACTGCTGACTCTGCAGGACTGAAGCATGGAGTGCCACAGGGCTCAGTATTAGGTCCTTTACTCGTCTCCATGTACAAGCTCCTCTTAGGGGATATTATCACAAAAGGTAGCATTAGTTTTCACTGTTTATTACATGACTTTCAGCTTTATATTTCCTCCAGACCTGGCAAATTTGAGTTAATTTAAATTTTCTTTACTTTTCTAAAATGTATTTTCTTTTAAATTCTGATAAAACAGAAGTAAAGCAAATCTCGGTTGCATGACTATTTATATCCTTGCACAATGTAACTTTATTATCATTCAGCTGTAATCTGCTAAATGTAACTTTAAAGCATAAATATATTATAAACATTAACATCATGATTTTCTGCAAGGCTGCTTTGAAATGATGAGTATTGTAAAAAGCATTGTAAAATTGACTGGACACAGAGTCTTAGTAAGGTGATGAATGAAGAGCTGGATGAATCTCATTACATCTACACGCATGTATCTGGCAGACGCTTTTACCCAAAGTGTCTCACATTGCATGGGTTATCTGAAAGGACTGGTTAGTGGAAATGAGCCAGAAATCTCATCACTAGTTTGTCTCCAAAAACCTAGATAATTTCACCAGCAATTATTGGACATCAAGTCAGCCATTGTGATGGTAATAAAGCGGTGTTCATGTTAATAAAACAGATTTACTGGTAATGACATTAACAGAGTCTGATTGCTGGAAGCTTGATTCCACACAAATGGCTGACGCTTTGCTCCTGTATTCAAATGACGGAGACACATTAATGCAGATCTTTAAGTGTAAACAGCAGGTCAGATGCAGATGTATAAAGGGCCCTTTAGTGCAGTTTGTACTGATCAATGTAGAAGCTCAAACACAGGAACAGATATAAAGCATTATGACACACAAACATCATACTCACATAATTGACCTCCAGAACCTCCTTGCGCGGACGCATTTTAAAAGCAAACGCCTGAGCCCTCATGTGCTTCTGTTTCCTGAGGAAGCCCTCGTCATCTGGACACACACACACACACACACAGTCTTACACGCCGCTGTCTGCTGAACAGCACTGCTGTCTGTTACTGAACCGCTGAACGTCTCACCTGCTGCCATGATGTCTAATCTGAACACCTGCACGGCTTTGGGCTCCGTGTTTTCTCTCTGAGACACACAAGCATCACATCAGCACTGGCTCAGAGGACAAATAAATGCTGTTCTTTTGATCTTTCTGTTCAAAGAAGATTGTCTGTATGAGGCCTGACAGAGAAACTAACCTCGTCCTTGAGCCGTCGAGGGGAACGTCTCTCCGCTCGTCTCTCCTCTTCATCCTCATCTGTGCCCTCTTCTTCTCCTCCTCCAATGCCTTCATCCACATCCTCGGTGTCAGGGGCTTCTGGGTAAAGCCTGTGAACGCTCTATACACACACACACACACACACACACACACACACACAGACACCTGTCAGGAGCGACACGAGACACACGTCATCACAGCAGCTGCAGGAGTCAGACTCACGGTCAGCGTCACTCCGGTCTGGAAGAGCTCATACGGATACAGGATCCGCTCGAAGTGAGAGCGCAGCAGTGACCCCACACCTTTCCCGGCTGGAAAACCCATGCGACTGCTGATCCTGGACCAGCGCTTCTCCTTACAGACCACCTCAAAACCTCCTTCTGCAGACACCAGCTGCCAGAACACAGAGAGAAGAGATCAGCTGCCTCTTCAGCACAGCGCTGTGTTTGCTCATCACTACGTTATATCATTAAATCACGTATTTACACACAAATGTTCATCAACGTAGTTTTTATAAAACCAATAAAACACAAAGTTCAAAAGCTTGGG